AAACCACATGGGTCGCCTGTGGATCATTTTTTCAATGAGTTTGCAGAGACAGTTCGTTAGTGCTATTGGTCTGTAATTGGATGGGTGTGTGTGGTCCTTGTTTGGTTTGGGTATTGGAACGACAGTGGCGAGACGCCAAGACTCCGGAAAGGAGTGCGACCGCCACATGTCGTTGTATATGTCTAGTAGGAGAGTGAGTATTTCTGAGGGTAAGTGTCTAATGATCTGGTTGTGGATGTCATCCGGTCCTGGGGCTGTATTGCCCAGGTCCGAGATGCACGATGTCAGTTCGTCTATTGTGAAGTTTGCGTTGTAGGTTTCAGTGTTGTTTGAGTGGAAGTTTAGGTGTTGTTGTTCTCTGTTAGTTTTGATGTTTTGAAAAATGGTGTTGTAGTTTGCTTGGGATGAGTTTTTGGCGTGAGATGTAGCAATTGTGTTTGCGATGTCTACTTGTGTTTCAGCTGTGGTTCCATCCTGCCTCTGGACGTGCCGAATGGTGTCTGTGTGTCTACCTAAGAATTTTTTAAAGCAATTTTGAAAACTTGGTTGAGTGGTGTCTGGCTGTTGATTTTGGAGATGTATTTTTTGAATGATTGTCTTTTGCTCTCCCTGAGGCTTCTACGTTTCACAGCTAGAGCCTTTAAATAATTGATCTTGTTTTCTATGGTGGTGTTGTTGACGGCTTTTCGATACGCTGCCTTCTTTTTCTTTACTGTATCCTCACATTCCCAAAAGAACCAGATCTTGTTCCCCCGGGGTTTTGTTTTTGTTTTTGGTATGTGTTTTTGGCATATTTCTAAAAGCATTTCGTGGAATTTATTGTAGTTGTGGTCGAAAGTTGGGTTCAGAATCTGGGAACATTGATTGGCAAACCAGTTCCAGTCTGCTTTTTTAAAGTTGAAGCGTTCTGGGATCTGGTCGTTTTGGAGGCTATTGTTTTTTAGAAGAATTGAGAAATGGTCCGTACGGTCATCCAACACAGACCACTCAAGATCTGGGACTAGGTCAGGGGTACAAAAGGTGAGGTCAAGGGATGAAGTGCCATAAGTGGCTCTGTCTCTGTAAATTGGGGACCTATCATTTAAGAGACAAATGTTATTTTGAAATAAAAAGTTTTCTATTATTTTTCCTTTCTGGTCTGTAGGTTTGTCTCCCCAAAGGGGGCTGTGGGCATTGAAATCACCTAGCAAAATAAAGGGTTTTGGAAGCTGAGCTTTTAAGTCATTTAGTTGGGTTATTTTGAGGGGGTAATTTGGTGGGATATAAATTGAGCAGATCGTGATTGGTCTGCACAGGGTGACACGTACGGCAATAGCCTGGAGGGTCGTCTTAAGATGTACTTGTCTGTGGAGTGTGTGGTTGTCGGTGCAGATGGTGGTACCACCGGAAGCAATCTGGTTCTCCGTGTGAATGTGATGATACGCAGTAAATCCTCTTAAGTCTGTGGTTGAAGCCGGGGCAAATTTTGTTTCTTGTATACAGGCCACACGTGGGCACAGTGTGGCCTGTAAGTGTTGCAGTTCTGCAATGGAAGGTCGGATTCCGCCGGCATTCCATGCAGGACCGCCATTATGACTTTTTATTTTTTTATTTTGGAGCTCAAAGGCCCCGGCTTCGAAGAAACACTCTGACTCCTCTTTGCGGGGGAGGTAGAGTGTTTTCTAGGTTGCCGTCCTGGATTGGACGGCGGTCTAGTGGGGGATTTGGAGGAGTGACAGACTCTGCCCTTCCCAGATATTTATAGGAAGTACCTGAAAAGTAACATCTTTGACTAGGGAAAAAAGAACCCAATAAAACAAAATTATGTGGGGTGCATAGTGTTGTCGCCACTGCTCGGATTTTGGCTACGAAGTCTTTAATGTGATGACCTTTCAGCCCATCCCGGATGACTAGCTGCAACATGTGTGCTGCACATCTCATATGATGACTTGTAGTTGATGTTGAAAGATCTACAAGAATCGTCGGCCCATCATCACCATTCTCCTCACCTATCTGTTCATCGGGTAACTGTATTTCTTTCTCAGCCTGCTCTTTTCCTTCTGATTCTTTTCCTTCTTGTGCTTCTTCTTCTCCTTCTTCTTCTCCTTCTTCTTCTCCTTCTTCTTCTCCTTCTTCTTCTCCTTCTTCTGCAGATTCAGCCTCTGCACCTTGCCTGTCTCTATTCAGCCGTTCAATTGTTTTTGCCATGTTACTCGGGTTGTCCACAACACTACACAAAATCTGTTCCTTCGCTGTCCTGAATTTCGAAAAAAAATAATCTTGCAACATTGAGCTGATGGCCTTACTCGTTTGCCGGTTTTCATTTATACTACCTTTTGCTCATATTCGCAGTAGCACTGTAAATTAACCCCAAAGATGTTAGCTCGAAAACGAGTGCATACATCCACTTTCACTTAAATCAATTTCCCCTGAAGACTCCTAATGATTTAATCCCTCTATGCTGTATCGATTATCAGTGACCTTACACTCGTCCTGTCTAACTTTATAAAAAATTCCTTTGCAAGATCGCCATATCCTAAAAAATCCCACTGACAAGAAAAATGTTAGTGGCACGGCCCCGCATGCCACCGTTTCCAGCAATCCCTGCTCAAACGTGGCCTTTGTCATAGATTTAGACAACATCTGATGAAATAAATGCTGATATCTTCCTTTATCCACTACTTTTTGGTACACCTTATTTATTCTTCGCTGGAACTGGGAGTTTTACTGGGAGTTTTACTTCTTTCTCTTTGTCATCTTTCAGTACTTTGTCGTACGCTGGGTTGTGTGAACGTTCTACGAGTCTTTTTAAATTATAGCATCTTGTGGGAGCGTTTTGAGCTTGTCCTCCCTTAGCCAAATGGCTTTCACTTTCACTTTCACTTTCATTTTCGGTTTTTGTTTCTGGGCAATGTTCACACACCACTTTCAGTTTCAGTTCTAACACTTTCGAAATAGAAGGCAGGGTCTGCTCAAACTGGAATTGATGGTGATGCAGAAATTGCATTTTCAAGAAAAGTTAATAATCTTGGCATCTATTTTGATTCCAGTTTGTCAATGTCGGCTGAGGTAAATCACCTGATGTATTTAGAAATAAGAAAGATTAGCAAAATACGTCACATAATAAATACTAAGTATACTGCTTTATTAGTAGCTAGCTTAGTTTTATCAAGACTTGGTTATTATATCTCCGATATCAGGAATATCACTGGGGAAATTTAAAAGACTTCAAACTGTCCAAACAAAGCTGCACGTTTAGTTTTACGGAAAAGAAAGCAAGACTCTGCTACACCCCTTTTACGGACACTGCATTAAAATTTGCTTCCTGTTGAGAAAAGAATTGTGTATAAGTTGGTCACCCTATGTCACACATACTTGAATAATAAAGCGCCATCATATTTTTCAAATCTGTTGAGACTGTACATTCCAACTCGCAGTTTAAGGTCATCAGCTGACATAAAGAATTTGTTTTTCATCTAAGAAACTTAAACCAATGGGTGAAAGGGCATTTGAAATATATCAAGGCCCCAAGATCTGGAATGCTTTGCCAAGTACTTTAAGACAGATCAAATCCTTTGATTCATTCAAATGTCAGCTGAAGTCGTTTCTGTTTCTAAATTAATAAGATGAAATTGGGATTTTCTTTTGGTCAGAACACAACGTTTTATGTTGCTGTTGTTCATTGTATTGTAAAGTGCTCAGAGCTTGTGTACTTAAATTGGGGTTCAGCGCGAGATAAATGTTATTATTATTATTATTATTATTATGGTGGGGTGGCACAGCGGTTAGTGCGCTCGTCTATTTACATAGACGGCAATAGGAGAGAGGGTGATGGAGATGGAGGGTGAGATGAAAAAAAAAAGAGAGAGAGAGAGAGAGAGAGAGAGAGAGAGAGAGAGAGAGAGAGAGAGAGAGAGAGAGAGAGAGAGAGAAATATCATGAAATGTTATTATTATTATAAAATTAAATAGTAATAGGTTTAACCATATTTTTGTGTGTGAATGATATCCAAGAAATTATTTTGTAATGTAATCTTTGACTCTAGCACTTCATTGAATGTGGGTGTTTTCTTGAAGTAGTAGGCTGTTCAGTGAGTCTCTCATACGATCTCTGCCTATTTCCCCTATCATCCAAGGGCATGCCACTCCCTTAATTATCTTGTCCCCACAGTAAAGATAAGAGTCATGTCCCTTGACATCACATGATAGGAGGGAAGCAGCAAACATACCAGAGCACCCGCAAACCACTCAGGCACCTTCCTTCCATGACTGAGAAGAATGTAAACCAAATAATATTTCTTTAGTACAAGAAACGTTTATTTCTGGCAAAGCAACAGAACACCGAGTATGGACAACAACTTAATTCACATTTATACAAATAAATGTTGTCAGCTGACGTAGGCTTTCACAGTAACAATACTAACAGAGATCCAATCAGAAATCAAAAAGGCGAATAACATTCGTTTCTCGTACAGGTAACCTTGGACGCATTTAAGCTAAAATTGCAAATACATCAATAGACACAAGGATGTACAGAGTGCTCACTGTCTGACAGACGTGTTCTGTGTTCTCAATGTGTGTCGGGGGTCAGAGAATGTGTTATGGGTTCTCAGTCTCAGTTTATGGCAAGGCTCAGCAGATATTTTCTTTCTTCTCATTGTGTTATAGTTATAGTCAGAAAGATGCGCTCTGTGTTCGCAGTGTGTGTGTTTGTGGTCAGACTGATTTACACAGCTCGACACACATCTGGCTTAAGTATTACGTGTGATCGGGCCGGACACAAAAGTGTTACACACACACACACACACACATACACACAAACAGACACTCACACACACCTGGCTTAAGTAATACGTGTGATCGTGCCGGGCACACAAGTGTTACAGTGTTACACACACACACAAACACACACACACACACACACACACACACACACACACACACACACACTCACACACACGCACTTACAAAAAAACTACACGCACACACACACACACACACATACACACACACACACACACACAACACACACACACACACACACACACGCACGCACTTACAAAAAACTACACACACACACACACACACTCACACAAACACATCCTTTCACACAGCCTGACAAGCATGTAGCACGAAACAGCCACTATGGCCGTGCTGACTAAGCACCTTAAACCCCGCCTCCTTTGCCAGTCTGGCCGCTTCACTCCGCCCCCAACACGCCCCGTAGACATGAGCATCCGCATTGTGGTACGCTTGAGCCACACAGAGGAGTGTGCTCAAACTGTACAAAACGGCCGAATGAGAGTTACTCTTGTCAGCAACGACGTCACCGGTTCCGTCAATTTCCATGAAAGCGAAGTAGGAACCAGTCTTGAGAACTTTGCGACATCCCTTAAGTCCGGTCAGAGAGTCGGGGAGATCATGGATGACGTCATTAATCACGGCGAAATCAAACTTGCCCACGTAGTCGTCTGCTACATTGAGGAGGTCCAGTTTTTTCATTTCGATGTTGTCCAGTTTGAGCTCTGTCTTTTTGTTCTGTAGGAACTGGACGCCCGAATCTGTGTATTCACTACCTGGGGAGGTCAATTAGAATTTAGTTATTGGCCCTGTGTGTCTGTGAATGTCTTTTGTGGGTGGCTTGGTAAATTTTGGTGGTCCAGTTTGTGGGAGAGCCACTGGGAAAAACAGAAAAACAATAAGCTATATGTTATAAAACCCAAACTAGAACAACGAAATCCTTCGGACCACTCCGGAAGAGACGAAGTCATTTTTACTCGATTGCGCATCGGACACACGGCCCTGACCCACAAATACCTCCTACAGGGAGATGAGAAGCATTTCTGTGTCAGATGCGACACAGATTTTACCATTAGACACATCTTAACCGAATATCTAGACTTTGGAGAGATCCGAAGGAAATATTATAAATGCAAGAAATTGCAAGACATTTTTTTCCGCCGTTGGTCCCAGCAAAATTTTGAATTTTACGAAGGCCATTGGCCTTTATGGCAAATTATAAAGTGAAATCATACTATTTAAAATGTTTATTGTTATTTATAAGAGTTGTTTAAAATTTTTTTAAAAATAAATATTTACACCGAATTTTCATATTTTAGCATTTTAAAGCCCAAAAGATAACCAGCCGTGCAGTAAACTGTTGCGAATGTAAACAACTTTTGTTTCGCGCGCTCATATGACTTTTTGCAGTTGCGAGTGCCATAAAACCCTATACTACTAACTAACTAAACTTTTGGTGAGCGGTGGAGATCTTCTGGGTAGTTTGTTGGTTTGTTTGTTTGTTTGTTTATTTGTTTGTTTGTTTGTTGAGTAAAAAGAAGCACATCGACAGAATGATAGTCATTTAGTGCTGGGAAAAAGTAAAGATAGACAGATAGGCAGACAGACAACAGACTGACAGACAGACAGACAAAAACAACAGTGGGAAAGTAAAGAAGTAAGACATACCAGTGGCACCCTCCAACCACCTGCAGGTTGGAAATACATAAAAATGCCACGAAGCGGTGGAATCAAGCGCTCGTCAATTTTGGGATATATTAAGTTATTGGTATCATCTTAAAGCCTGTCCATTTGCCTTGCTTTTGATTTTAAAAACCCATCCATTTGTCTTAGATACAAGTCAAGGTATTGACCATTGAAGGAGGTGGGGGTCGCTTGGTAGCCCTATCATACTGTCCCCGGAGAATTATGCGAATTTAGATGGCCAAATTATGCCCCCCAAAAAAGTCAAATTATGCAAAAATTATGCAAGTTACCGTAACATCTTTCGCGGCATGTTTTGCACTTTTTCAACACAAATTTTCATGACTTTTATGTTTTAAGTACAGAAAAATTTAAAACAGAACATATCAGTATCAGTAATTTGTAGTGTATTTGGAAAGAAAACAATACACATCTGTTAAAAAAAAAAAAAAAAAACAACTAAAAAATATAATCTCTGTAACTTTCAGCTGTAGATCTAAATCTAGATATGTATCTAGATCTAGTAGATCTGGGAAAGAAAAATGTAGACAGATCATAGGTAAAATTAGCGAGAAAATGACCACCAAATTTGAGTTACATCCTCAGCTTAAGAATCCATGGAAACTGGAAATTTACATCTTTAAACTCGTATGCCTTTATAACCACCAAATTTGTGTTACTTCCTCAGCTTAAGAATCCATGGAAACTGAAAATTTACATCTTTAAACTCGTATGCCTTTATTCAACGTTTTTAAGTACAATCCACACAGAAATGTGTTTTTTTAATGGGCATGAGAGGTTTTGAGCCCAAAAAATAAAAATTCGATAAAAATTCCCAAACCTCCGGGAAAACGTCAGTTTCTTCACTTTGATTATTTTGACGTGCGTCTGTTTCCACCACGCTGCCTCACCATTATGTACGAGGGCGGCACGAACATTTTAACCTCTTAAAGATGGCAAAATTGGGCGTGGCTGTAGAAATGTTGGCAATCACCGCTCCACGCCAAAAATAGGTGACAGTATTGATCGTAATCTACCTTTTTTTAAAATGCAGATGGTTTTACGCCCCCATCGACACAATTTCGATTTTATGAAGCAAGCCTCCGACCCTGCATGTCAGGGCCAACCCAGGCTGAGAGGGATACAATATCCCAGCAGAAAGACCGAGGTAGCCGTTAAAAAAATATGTTCTCCCCACTCGGGAATCGAACTAGGGTCTCCTGCGTGAAAAAGTGAAGCGCCTAACCGCTACACGACAAACGCTGCTATAATCTACTTAAAACAAAAACACAATTTCAGTTGTTTAAAAAACTGGGTGTTTTTTATGCTCCCATGGACACAATTTCGATCGTTTAAGAAGAAGGTTTCGCTAACTCGTGCTGAGAGGGATACAACGTCCCACCAGGAAGACCAAAATACTCCAAAAAAATTCTCCTTATACGGGAATTGAACTCAGATCTTCTTTCTTTTGGCAAGTGTTTTACGGTGCTCGTAACAAAATAAGGTCATATGACATTATGAGCCCTCAGGACACACTCTCCATTTTCAATAGGTAGGAAATTTTGAATTTTGTTCGGGTGGCGGCCAAAGGGTACTCTTTTATCGATTTTGGAATACCAAGGGATCTTTAATGAGCGCAACTTGCACACAGGACCTCCGAGATTTTTCGCCCTTGTCCGAGAAAGCCAGGTGTAGGTCTTTCCTACCATAAGATCAGGGCTGTGGCTGAAAGATAGCAGTAAGAAGGAGCCAAGGAGTAGCAGTAGAAAGGCAGCAGAAAGAGTCAGGAGCCCAGAGAAGGGGGCAAAGGAGGTGAGGGGATAAGGGCAGAAAGAGGAGGCGAAAGCAGATGACAGAACATTGCAATTGCTCCAGAGCAGGAAAGGAGGGGAAGAGAAAATTTTAGAGAAGAAAATTTTTCCCTTGCTATACGGATTCGAACCCGGGACCTTTGAATGAGAGACGAACACCTTAACCTCTAGGCCGCAAGAGTCCCTTCAGATCTTGTGTGAGACGTTGAAACACTTTATAACTACACCACAGGCGCTAGAAAAAATTGAAATGCACTGTCTTCTTGTTAAACGATATTTCATGACAATGTTTTACTTTCAACATCCGTCATGTAATGGTAGGCTTATAAAAAACAGGACTTTAAATTTAAGAATATAAAGGTAGAAAGAAAAAGTAAGGCAAAGAAAGAAAGAAAACGATTGAGAAAGAAAGAAAGAAAAAGCAGCACAGAAAGGCGGTAAAAAGAAAGGAGGAAACACATAAATTGATGAGTGAAAGAATGTTTTTGGGGATATTTTTGGGAAATGTACTGGTACGTCACATTAGGGGGTAAAAACAAGCAATAGACAACAACAACAACCCCAAACTTATGTTTTTTCTAATGGAGCAAAACAAAATAACGGGTTCAGCGTGATGTGTCAGTCCAGCGTTAGCACCTCCTAATGCGGCGCTATTCCTATTCTTCTTCTCGAAAAACAAAAGAGCTTCAAAACCGCAACTGTAGCGCTATCTGACCCAAAAAAGCTTTTTTTTGGTTGAGCGAACCATCGGTAGTGTATGATCTCCCCCCACCCCCTACTCCTCCTCCTCCTCCTCCTCCTCCTCCTCCTCCTCCTCCTACTACTACTACTACTACTACTACCTCTATTATCAATCCTCCCCCTTCTCCTCCTCCTTCTCCTCCTCCTTCTCCTCCTCCTTCTCCTCCCCCCCCTACTCCTCCTCCTCCTACTACTACTACAACTACTACTACTACTACCTCTACTATCAATCCTCCCCCTTCTCCTCCTCCTCGTCCTCCTTCTCCCTCCCCCCCCTTCCCCCCCCCCCCCCCCCTTAGCCCATCGACCCTGAGGCCACTCACTCACCTGTGAACCTTGACTTGGGAAACTTCTCAGCTAACGTACAGATCAGTCTGCCCTGACCACTGCCCAGCTCGATGACGTTTATCCCTGACTCTGGAAGACATTCGGTTATGGTCCGTATAAGAATAACAATAATAAATAACAGCAAATACGTACTGCTGCTGCTGCTGCTGCTGCTGCTGCTGCTGCTGCTAATAATTATAATAAAATCATACAAATGTTACTATGCTGCTGCTGCTGCTGCTGCTGCTGCTGCTAATAATAATTATAATAAAATCATACAAATGTTACTACTTCTGCTACTCTACTACTACTACAACTACAGCTACAACTACTACTCTTGCTGCTGCTGCTGCTGCTGCTGCTGCTGCTACTACTACTACTACTACTACTACTACAATTACTACTGCTATTACTTCAACTAGTACTTCTGCTTCCACTACTACTCTTACTACTTTACACGTACCCACTCCAACTGAAAATGTATGATGTGTTCCGTGCGCTCATATGACCTTGTGCAATTGCGAGCGCCGTAAAACCCTTACCACTAATATTTTTTTAAAAATTTAAAATTTAAAATACAGCAGAGCACCCAAGTGCAAATAACCACCCACAATCGCCACAAAGTACAACGCCATCTCACCAAGCCTCTCTCTGATCCCTGGGATGTTGGACAGGACAGTTTCCACCTCTGTGCCCAGTTTACACAAGCCGACCCTGTCTATGGCAGCCGTCACCAGGGCATCCGCCATGGGGTAATCTGTTCCATAGAATAGTGGGGGAGATAGAAAGTGCCTAATTTGTACCATAGAATAGTAGGATTTGTTTGAGAAAAAAAGAAGCACATCGACACAATAAAAAAGGTCATTTAGTGCTGGGAAAAGGTTAGACAGACAGAGAGATAGAAACAGAGGGAAAGTAAAGAAGTAGGACCTACCACAGGCAACCTCTAACCACCCGCAGAATAGTGGGAGAGACAGAAAGAGTGTAATTTGTACCTTAGAATAGTGGAAGGGATAGAAAGTACACCGACAAGGGGTAATTTGTACCATAGAATAGTGAAAGAGATAGAATGTGTATTCTGTACCATAGAATAGTGGGAGAGATAGAAAGTGTAAACCCTACCACAAAATAGTGGTAAAGATAAAAAGAGAAATCTAGACAATAGAATAGTCAGCGAGATAGAAAGGAAACCAACGTGAAGTAACCTGTGCCATAAAATAATGGGAGGGATAGAAAGAGAAATCTCTACCATAGTGTAACATAGTATACATTGTGAAACGCATTGAGCATTCTGTTGAGCGGGGATTTTCGCGATACAAAATAATGCTATTTATTATTATTATTATTATTATTATTATTATTATTAATGTGTACCATAGAATAGTTGGAAAGACAGAAATTACACAGACATGTGGTAACCTGTTCCATAGAATAGTGGGAGAAATAGGAAGTGTATTCTGTACCATAGAATAGTGGGGAAGATAGAAAGGACACCAACATGATATAGCCTACTTTGTACCATAGCTTAGTCGGAGAGATAGAAAGGACATGGACATGAGATAAACTGTGTCATAGAATAGTAGGAGAGATAGAAAGTGAAATCTGTACCATAGAATAGTGGCAGGGATAGAGAGTGTAAACTGTACAATAAAGTAGTGGGAAAGATAGATTGGAAAGTGAAATCTGGACAATAGGACAGCGGTAAAAATAGAAAGTGAAATCTGTACAATAGAAAATTGGGAAAGACAGAAAGTGTATTCTGTACCAAAAAATAGTGGGAGGGATAGAAAAGACACTGACATGGGGGTAATCTGTGCAATAGAATAGTGGGGACGATAGAATGTGAAATCTGTACCATAGAAATGTGCTTAAGACAGAAAGTGTAATCTGTTCCATAGAATGATGGGGGAGATAGGAAATGTGTAGGGTAATTTGTACCATAGCATAGTGAGAGAGACAGAAAGTGTATTCTGTACCATAGAATAGTGAGAGACATAGAAAAAAGTATTCTGTACCATACAATGATGGGAGAGAAAATGTGTAATTGGTACCATAGAAGAGAGGGAGAGATAGAAAATGTGTAATTTGTACCATAGAATCATGGGAGAAATAGAAAATGTGTAATTTGTACCATAGAATCATGGGAGAAATAGAAAATGTGTAATTTGTACCATAGAAGGGAGGGAGAGATAGAAAATGTGTAATTTGTACCACAGAAGAGAGGGAGAGATAGAAAATGTGTAATTTGTACCATAGAATCATGGGAGAGACAGCAAGTATAATCTATACCATAGAAGAGCGGGAGAGACAGAAATAGCAATCTGTACCATAGAATGATGGGAGAGACAGAAAGTGTAATCTGTTCGTTCCCCCACACAAACCCCTCACCATAAGGCCCGTCCGCCCGGAAGCGGTCCATCATATCTACAAAGCGAGCGGAGGTAGCGGCGATCATGCCAATCATCTGTGTGCTGGGTCCCGTTAGCACTGCCCCCTGCTCCTGGGTCACGTGGTAGCGCACCGTGCCACCGCCATCTCTGTTTACTTCTACAATCTGTGCGCAGGCAAGGCAGTTCAAGGACTCTCTAACGTACCTATAGGGAGAATAAATAGAGATGGGTTGAGGGTAGAGATAAGGGTGTACCGATATTATGTAAGTGAGTGTGGGGGGG